AGTTCCAGGTCTCTCTCTCCGTTTCCCTCCCCTCCTCCTGTGCCCTCCCCTCACATCCCCCCCAATATCCCCTCATTTCCCCAGGGAGGGTGAGGCCCTCCATGGGGGTGTCCATAGTCTGTCATTTCATCCAGGGCAGGGCCTAGACCCTCCCCCAAGAGTTCAGGGTGAGAGTGCATCTCACATTGTTGGATGGGAGTCCAAAGTCCATGTGTATACTCAGGATAAATACTGATCTACTACCCAAGGCTCAGTAGATTACCTAGGCATCCTCACTGACACCCCCATTCAGGGGGTCTTGAGCAGTCCCATGCTGGATTCCCAGGCATCAGCCTGAGATTCAAGAGTTAACCCTTGTCAGGTCAGCTGTTTCTGGGGGTTAAACCAGCCCTGTCTTAATCCCTTTGGTCATCAGTCCTCCCTCTCTGTCACTGGATTTCTTGAGTTCAGCTCAGTGCTTAGCCATGGGAGTCTGCCTCTTCTTTCATCAGCCACTGAATGAAGGTTCTGTTTCCCAGACTCTCTGGCCATGGGATTGTAGGCTGGCACTCCCCAATCTATGTCTAAAATCCATATATGAGAGAATACATGCCATGTTTCTCTTTTTTTGTGACTGCGTTACCTCACTCAGGATGGTTTCTTCTAGTGTCATCCATTTGCCTAAATCACAGGATTCCATTGTTTTTTTCTGCTGAATAGTACTCCATTGTGTAAATGTACCACATTTTCTCTATCCACTCTTCGGTTGAGGGGCATCTAGGTTGCTTCCAAGTTCTGGCTATTACAAATAATGCTGCTATGAACATAATGGAACAGACATCCTTGTTGTATGAATGGGCATCTTTTGTATCCCCTTTGGCATTCAATACCTTTTCTTCTTTGCTCACATTTGGTATCTTATTGAATAAATTGTGGAAATTTTTGATGCTTCCTCCTTCCATTGCATGAACTTCTAAAAAGTTTGTATTGTGTCTTTCTTTTTGTTCTTTTTTATCCTCCTCTCATGTATTTTAGCTTTCACTCATTGAAATTTCTCATTGAAGTTACTATTAACTTCTTTATTTCTAAATACAGCGGGCCTTTTCAGTTTTGATTGTTCTCCTGACCACTTGTGTCCTGTCTAATTGACTTTTTTTGCAGATTCTTGTGAATTCTTTTGCTTGTTTCAGAAGACTTGTTTATTAATGTGTAATTCATATACAGTAAAATTTGGCTTTCAGTATATAGTTAGGAATTTTAGCGAACCATAGTTTGCAACCTCCCCCATAATTGAGATATACAGCTGCTTTCTCATCCCTAAAACTTCCTTGTACCTCTTCATAGTCGGCTTTTTCCACTTTTAGCCCATAGCAGCAGCTAATCTCTGTATCTACACAGCACACAGCTTTTTGAGTCTGCCTTCTTTAACTTACAATGTGTTTGAGATACACCTAGGCGTGGCAGCGGTTCATCCCTTGCTATTCTTGACTAGCATACTACTCCGAATGTGCCAGTTTGTTTACCAATTTATCAATTGAAGGACATTTCTATTTTCAGTTTTTGTGACTCTAAAAACTGAAACAAGCAACTGAAAATTCCTGTACAGGTTTTTGTGTGAGCATGTTTTTGTTTCTTTTGGATAAAAATCAAGTAGGGATATAACTGGATTATATGATGTGTGCATGACCTTACAAGAAATGCCAAGAACATTCTCTAGAATATTCTGCACTTTGTATTCTTTCTAGAAATGTGTAAGAGTTTCCGTGTCTCCATGACCTCACAGACACTGTATTGTCAGTTGTTGAAGTTGGACTCTCCCTCTTCTTCCTCCTTGTTTAAAAGGTGATTGTTATCATTCTTCTTTTTGTAACCCCTTTCCCATATTGTTCTCTTTGGTTTCTTGACAACGGTCTTGCTTCATAGTTCAGGCTGACCTTGAATTTGTGACCCTCCTCCTTCAGCCATCTCAGTGCTGAAATTACAGATGTGTACCAGCATGGCTGGCAGTTAATTTGTTCATTTGTTTTTCTGTTTGTTTGTCTAAAAGTTGAGCACATGCTAATAGAGTGCTGTTCTTCTGAGCTATATCCATAGCTTTTTTTTTAGTCTTAATTTGCAGTTGTCCACAGTGTTCTTACATACCTACATTTTTGTATTTATTCATCCATTTGTAAGTATTGATTCTGCCTTAAAAACAATAATAATAATTATAATAATATGTGTGAGAAAGAAAGAGACTTTGTGCTTGCCAAGGAATGCATGTAGATAGCTTTTCAGGAGTGATTCTCTCCTCCTCCTCACATCTTTTTTTTTTTTTAGACAGATTATCTACCATGCTGCTCACACCAGCTTCAAGCTGATTCTTTTGTTTCCATATTTCATTTTACCATAGGACTAGCTCATTAGGGAGTCTGAGATGTGGGTTGTGTCCTGTCTGTCCCTCACCCCATAGGAGTACTGGGATTACAGATGCCAGCCAGCACATCTGAATTTTGTGTGGCTTCCAAGGTTCAAACTCCGCCTTTAGCCTTGCAAAGCAAGTGTTTGGATCCACTGAGCCATCTTAGCTGAGCTGCTTTCCATTAAATATTATTTAGACACAATACAACAAAAGAACAAAACAGAAAAAGCCTTTTCTCTATTGGAATTTATATTCTGAAAACTTCAAAATCTCTGCTCCCCATGTCTTTTCTGAGTACTGTATTCAGATACCCAGCTGTGTGTTGAACAAAACTCATTTAATATATCTAGTAAATACCACAGTTAATAAGCCTAATTTTCATTTGATCTTGCCCCTCATCCTGACCTCTTGTTTATATGCGTCTTCTCAGTGATTGTTGCATTCATTTACTAACACAGGCTAAAAAGCTTGCTATTGAGTTATTCATCAAACCTGATTGATTTTTTACCTTCAGAATGTCTCATGGATCTATCCATGGCTTCCTACCCTCTCTGTCACATATATAGGGCAGGCTGTTGACAAATGTGTACAGCAGATTCCTTACCAGCCCTACTGTACCAGTAGACCATTGGTCACACTGCACCTCTGTTCTCTTTATGAAATGGAAAGTTGGGTCCTATCTCCTTCCTCTTAAAAGATGCAGTAGCTCTCTTTGCCTTCCAGATAATCCCACTACTAAAGATGCCCTGTGATTGGGCACTTTCATAGTAAAACTGTTGGAAACTAGCTGGATTAAACTAGTATTATTTCTGTTAACAGTGTTACTGTGCTGAAGTAGTGAGAATAGAGACTAGCTCATTAGAGAGTCTGAGATGTGGGTTGTGTCCCGTCCTGCCCCTCACCCCAGGGTTAGGATGGTGCCAGTATATGGGATCAGATTATACATTCAATTTCTTTATGTAATGGATACATACTTAATTAAGTAGAAGAAACTATGCCCTGTGTTGGAATTCTCAAGGAAGAAGCAATGTCTGCAGGGAGATTTGCCTTTGGGCTCAAAGTTACAGAAACAGCCTTGTTACTTGCGTGGAGCAATGTATGCTAAGATTCTGTGTCTCATATTTTCCCCCATTTTCTTAAAAAAACCCACAAAGTAATTACCCTCTATCAGTTGCTATGGCAGCAGTACTATAGCCTGGGAGAGTTTTCTTTTTATCCCCTACCCATGACTAGACAATTAACCAATTACAAAAAAATATACATGACACACTAAACCAATGTACCATCTCTGGGGAATGATAAGAGGAGACATATACAGTAGGAAGAGGGTGAGTGCTCAGGAAGACAGGGCTTATTAGTGATCAGCTAAACAGCCTTCGATTTATTAGTAGTCATGTTTGCCCAGAATAAATCATCAGGTGAATGCAACCAGCTGGGCTTGCCATCAGCTGATACCCCCAGAGCTTTGGGTCTTACTGTAAAGTTTCAAGATAGCCACACTCCCAAAATTCTGAGGGTCTTTTGGGCCTTAGGATTGTTAAAGAGCACAGGTAAGGAGTTGTTTTCTTTCTGCCACCTGTTTATTGGGAACCTATAAGAAAAGCAAAGTCCTGGTAACCTGACAAGCCAACACATGATAGCTGTTGACCACATTCCAGGGACTAAGCACTTGATCTGCATTTTCTCACCTAATTCTTATAGAGATACAGAGGAACTCATGCTGTTATTCTCCCATTACAGATGAGGAAGTATCTGCAATGATGTTTTCAAGATCATATTCTCAATAGGTAATAGAGCAGGAGAATTGAGTTTTGACTTTAAAGCTCATGTTCCTAATCAGGAAGCTAAATTATTTCCATTTCCCTAGGAATAACTGCTGATCTTTATCCAATTTTTTGTTCCAAATTCAGTTTGGGTATATGAAAGAATTTAAATTTAACTAGATTTTGACTTTTTACTTTGAAAAGTAGATAGAAAATGCCTTTATTTTCTTCGATCCTTCAACTGTGTATCTTAATTAAAATGTTAAATGTAATTCAGAAAAAGTGGCTTCCTCTGAGGATCCAATATGCTAGGTTATTTCTATTACATATTAGAAAATTAGAGGATAAGTTTTTAAGAGCTAGATATATTACCCTTCCCCACTTTTAAATGCCTTCTGTAGAAAGTAGCAGGATTGATCTCAGCTGGATGATCACTCTTTTGTATTTGTTATGATAGCTGAGTTTCTAATGGATATACTGTGGCAGGCCCAAGCTTGGAGAACCTAGGGACAAGGAAGAGCTTTTCTGAGACAGGACATCAGGGTTTTATTTTGACTAAGCAAAGATATATGAGCTCCTAAATGATGATATCCTGAGAGACCTGGAAGGAAGTTTGCAGGGTACTGAATTAGCAGTTTTATTCTATAGTAAACTGTGAAGAGCAAGAATATTTTCTTGTTTGCCTCATGCTTTTTACAAGCTAGATAATATGTAATATAAAGTCCTTGCCCCACAAGTGTAGTAGGCAGGAGAATGGTAAGGCATATTAAAATTGGTGGGGGGAGGAATTATCTTTTAAATACTACTAAAATTATATCAGTTATACTTCTTTTGCTTCTTCTTTGTGGTTTCCTTAGGTCACTGGACCTATTTGGGCTGGGGAGAGCATCAGAGTACGTAAGCATTTCAATTCCTTATCATTTTCTAGATCATTTTCTTTTGTGTATGTGTATCTGTGTCTGTGTTTACGTGGGTGTGGCACACACATGTGCATGTCACAGTGGAACAGTGGGAGAGGGGAGGTCAAAGGACAACTTGTAGGAATTGGTTCTCTTCTTCCACCATGTGGATCTTGAGGATTGAACTCAAGTCATCAGGTGCCTTTACCTGCTGAGTCATTTGCCAACCCAGTTTTCTTGATTTTTTTTCCCTTTTAATATTTTCCCTCTCAGCTATGAAGTTGAAGCTGGATATTCATGCATATCAGTATATGTAATTCAGTTCTCTTTTCTTTCCATATTTAAATGGAAGCAGAGGGTAGAGTAGGTAGAGGGAGAGAAAGAAGGAAAGTGATTGATTAGAATGAAATTTAAATACCAAAGTTGCAGTTACAACCCTAGTAGGACTATGGAACTTTATTCCCCAGACACAAATAGTGCCACCAGCCTTTGGTGTTGGCACTTTTGGTCTCCTGACATAGGAGTGCTATGACCAGAAGAAGGTTCATTCTGAGCTGAACTAGAGACAGAGTTATTGTTGTGAATTTTAGTATGGCTGTGTAGTGATAAATCTGGGAAGATCTACAGAATAGACTGATGTTTCTGGTTTATTAGTCTAGCCTTGTGTCATTTTAGGAAATGAGAGACAGAGGTTATGGTTTGACTTTTCCTTGAGTCTACCTTTGTTCTTGAGCTTGGAGAGCAGGCAGCTAGTTCTTTTCAGCAAAATGGCTCAATTCTAGACTGATTTTGTCCATGGATAGGATAAGAACCAGTCTCAGTGATTAGGTATCCAGCAGATACATGGTCAGACTTAAATGGCCATTGTCATTGGAATGTCTGAGTACTTCTGTGGTTTGAGTCCTGAGTATTTCTGCTGCTAGAGAACTGCTCCAAACAGCTCAAGAAAGACCAGAAATGTTAAGATTCTCAAGTGGAAAAAAGTAAGCAATGAAGAATATGTGTCATTTCTCTTTTGTTTTTTCTCTGACCAATAAAATGCTAGTGTTTCGGGAGTTAAAGACAGTGACCAAATCCAAGAGTACTATATACTGGAGTGCTGTAGCATTCAGTATTTAATTCAGTTTTCTTGAGTGTTTTCTGTGTGGTTGGAGGTTTGCTGCAGGTTAAATGACCTTGCTTAGGCTACATTTATCTTCTGTTATTGCCTTTCATGTGCTTGCCAAGTCAATTATCAATTTCTCAGTACATATATGTATGTATACATACACAAACACATATATATCTCACATATACATATCAGGTATATCATAAATATACCTTTTCATGATGCCATCATTCTTATCTGGACTCTAGCAGGTATTCCCTTCTTGCTCCACTTTTAGTTTTTGAGACAGAGTTTCTCTGTATAGCTTTGGAACTGGAACTCACTTCATAGACCAAGTTGGCCTCACACTCACAGAGATCCACCTGCCTCTGCCTCCTGAGTGCTGGGATTAAAGGTGTGAGCCACCACAACCTGGCTCTTCCTCCACTCTTACCTACCTACATCTCCATAAAACTTTCCTTCCTTCCATATCAGGAAGTGAACTTCCTTTCCTTCTGAGTCATATAGTGCCTGGCTTATGGTGTTTTCGTGTAGTAACTTCCTTGAATAAAAATTCAGTATTTGACCCATATCTTCATTCTCTCATTTAGCTAATATATATACTTAATCTTCTGTGCTCTTTAGACTTCCATGCGTAGGCATTCAGTATTTTAATGAGCAACTGTTCTCAGCCTTTTAATTTTTCATCTTTCAAATAAACTTTACCATGGGATTTTTCATTAAAATTTATCTGTTTTTGAAACATGGCCTAACTATGTAACCCTAGGTAACTTGGAACTCTATGTAGACCAGTCCTCAAACTTGGGTGTGCGGCTTTCTAATTTTTTCCCTTAAACTAGCTCACAAGTCCCTTTGGCTGAGTAGCTAAACTTGAACTCAGCAGTTTTCTTTTTTCTGTGAAGCCCTTTTCTCTTCTAGGTCACATGGTACTGAGGGGCAGTGGCTGACACACTCAAACACAACTTATTTAAACTGAAGGGCTTACCTTTTCTTTACTTTCCCGTTTTAGTTGCTAGTTAGCTTTGGCTGTGCCAGAAGATTGAGCGTGGTATAGGAAAGAAAGGCTGTTCTTTCCGTTTCTCTTTATCTCACCTCACTTTGTGTTCTCTTCCTCCTGATCCTCCTGTTTACCATACTCTTTCCAACCTTCTTTTTCCTATGGTATTTATTTGCTTTTTGTTTCCTTAGCATACATATGTTGTTAGCTAGGCCAGGAGTGTTGGCACACTATTCAATCCCAGCTCTCACAAGGCAGAGTCAGGAGGATCTCTGAGTTCAAGGCTAGCCTAGTCTACATTTTATGTTCTAGGACAGTCAGAACCGACTACATAGAAAGACCCTGTCTCAAAAACCAAAATAAATACATAAATAAATGAAATATTGTTAGTCATTAGGGAAAGATATGGAACATTCTCTTCCCATGGCCTAGGGGGGGAAAGCAATAAACAAAAAGCAGAGCATTTAAGAGTACCTGGTCAGATGTGACCAAAAGAAAAGAAAGGTTATGTAAGCAGTTACTAGCTTTGTCACATGAACTCTCAACTCTGGCTACACTGCTCTTTCTGCCTCAGTCAAGAGGCAATAGTCTCTTGTGGCCTCTGGAAACACAACAATCTCTACCTGACATACTAATACCCTCATTGTCAGGGTTCAGGAGACTATGGCCTCTGCCCCCTCATCCATATGCATGAGTAGTCCAGTACTGACTTCCTCAGACTTCTGTGAGTTCAGAAAGAACTACCCCTGAGTTGGTATATTGGTTTTGTCTCTTGATCCTTTTTTCTGGTCTTCAGAATAAAAAGCATAGGAAGGGCTGAACCCAGTGCCTCCAAGTCTGTTTTCCTAATGTCTTCAGAATGCTTTTAAGTCTAATGTTGTGTGTGCATGTGTGTGCGTGTGTGTCTGTGTGTTTTCCTCCCTTTTCCAAGATAAGGCCCTGTAGTCCTGGCTTTCCTTGAATTTACTATGTAGACCAGCTGGATTTTGAACTCACAAGAAATCTGCCTGCTTCTCCCTCCCAAGTGCTGGGATTAAAGGTTTATGTCACCACAGTTTCAGAAGACTTGTTTTAACTGTTGAGTGTAACAATGGTTGCTGGCCATGGAAAGTCTCATTCTCATTCTGATATTTTGCTGTAGTTTGACTACAACATTCTCTGTCTCTGTCTCTCTGTGGTGTGTGTGTGTGTGTGTGTGTGTGTGTGTGTGTGTGTGTTGCTTTTTGAGATAGAGTTTCTCTTTGTAGCTCTGGCTGTCCTGGAACTCACTTTGTAGACCAGGCTGGGTTAGTCTCATACTGAGACCAAATTGCCTCTGCCTCTGCAGGACCGGATTAAAGGCATGCACCACCACATCAGCTGCAACATTCTCCTTTATTAATTTTTTAAGTGTTTATGTTAATATAAACTTAGTACACTTTTTTCCTAAAAAATCCTTGGTGTCCCTAACACCATCCTCATTCTTTCATCCTAAATTCAGATACAAGAGGTTATAAGATCATCTTATTCCTGTGCCCCAACTATCCCCACAAATGTGATTTGGATTTCAGTTCTCAAATGTATTTATTTCTTGCTCCTGTTTGTTTTAGTGGAATTATTATCTGTGGACCAGCATTGAAGCCCAGGAATTCTTTCCTTATCACTGTTTGTTTTTCAAGTTCTTTCTTTTTTTAATCAAAACCATTTTTTTAGCTATTAAATTTTGTTTTATATCCTGACCCAAACCCAAAATTAAGTTCATCTGGCCAATACTTCTGTTCCTTTGTTTTTTTTTTTTTTTTTAAGACAGAGCTCACATAGTCCAGGCTGGTATTGAACTTGCTATGTAGCTGAGAATGGCTTTGAATTCCTAATCCACCTACCACCACCTTGTAAATTCTGGAGTTACAGCTGTATGTTTCATCAGCTCTGTATTTTTGATGTGTATTTGACTTTGTTGGGTCTTTGCCATTTTTGCTGTGTGACTACAAGCCCAGATTTCCTGCCCTAGTAGAAGTTTGATCATGTAGTTTTTGGGAGATTTCTGCAGCCTACACTGCTACCAAGATTATCTTTCAAAATTACTAATATGAAATGTCCATTATATACTAAAAGGTATTTCCATTCAGGAATGGTGAGTGTTTCTTTTCTTCATGGTGAGCCAAAGAGGAACATGGCAAAAAAGAACATGTGGACCCTTTGTAATCATACACACATGGGTATAACATCAGACACAGCTTCTCTGTAATGTAGTTTATATACAGTTAGGGTCATTCCTTCCCAACCACAGTTTTTGTTTGTGATGGTGGTTGTTTCAGTTATCATTAAGAAAAACTAGCTGTCAGTTGCTGGTTTGAAAAGCAAAACTAATTTTGGTCACTGCTACTAAGTAAATGTGGATGCTTTGTCAGTGAGAGTGTGGATAGATTTCTTCTCTCAGTCTGTGCTCAGGATTGGAATTCTGATAAGAATTGTTAGGAAAACTTGGTATTGCAGCAAGACATTTCTGCTCTTCTTAAACTGCATTTAAAGCCTTTGACTAGACCCGAAAACCCTGGCCTTGGCTGTCCTGATTTCTAGGACCAGTTCTTATTTGTCTCAGTCTATGCATTTTAAATCCTGACCAACTTTAAATTAAAATTTATTTTCTTTTAAGACATGGAATAGGCATTTCCCCCTTGCTCTCTCCCCTTTGATAATCACAGAGACCCAGAATCTATGTGAGACATTTCAAAGCAGAGCTTAATTAGGTTATGATAACTAGAAAGCTTAAAGCAGGATTCCAGAGAATTTTGTATTGGGAAATGCAATTTAGGTGTTCCTCTAAGAATCAACAATAAAATGAAATTGCCATTTCTTATTTGATAGGAGAGAGACTGTTTTGCATGTTTTTTGGTGTCACTGGACTTCTGTGCAGCTCAAATTTTACTCTTATTCTTTTTTAATGTTTTTATTTAAATTAGAAACATGCATGCTTCAAATGTCAATCCCAGCTCCCTCTCCCACCCCTCCTCCCTTCTCCCTCTGCCAGCCCCCCTTCTGCCCCCAGCCCAATCCCCACATCATTCCCCAGGGAGGGTGAGGCCCTCCTTGGGGGGATCTCCAGAGTCTGTCATTTCATCCAGGGCAGGACCTAGGCCCTTCCCTATGTGTCCAGGCTGAGAGAGCATCCCTCCATGTGGAATGGACTCTCAAAGTTCATTTGTATGCCATGGTGAACACTAATCTACAACCCAAGGCCCTTATTCTTAAGCTTCCATTATATGGCTACCCAAGTTAGAAGCAGGAAGCGTTCTGAAGAATTGCATAAAACTGGGGTGGTTGGTCTGTTTTTTCTACAGCTTTTGAAGACCCTGATAGTGCTGTTGATGACCGGGACAGTGACTATCGCAGTGAGACCAGCAACAGCATCCCTCCTCCTTACCATACAACTACCCAGCCCAACGCTTCTGTTCACCAGTTCCCTGTGCCAGTGCGATTGCCACAGCCGTTGTTTCTTCAGGGCAGTTCCCGGGACTCTTGCAATGATTCTATGCAGAGTTATGACTTTGATTATCCAGAGCGTCGGGCCCTCAGGTCGGTATTGATCCAGGTCCCATGGTGGCAATTGACAGACAGGCAGGATCCTGGTACTTTGATGGAGGTGATAGTGGCAATGTAGCAGTAAGAAGCTAGAAGCATTTTATGTAGGTTCTTGGTCTTTCTCCCACACACTTACATTTAGACATTTCCAGTAGAAATAAATGCTTGTCTTTGTGATCCTATCAGTGAGGACATGCCTAACTGGGGTGGCTGGTTGAAAACAGCAGGAGAATCTTTGAGTTCAAGGCTACCCTGGTTAACAGAGCATGTTCTAGGACAGCCAAGGCTACACAGAGAAAGCCAGTCTTTAAAACCAAAAAGAAAAGAAAACAAACAAACAAACTGTTCCTCCTATTCCATTTCCTTTTTGGATCAGTAATTTTACCAAACCATTTACTAAGATTAAAACAAAGAAAATGACTAGTATAAGTTTTTGAGTAGTCTTTCCTGTTTGAATATTTCCACAGAAGCTTCATAAGAAGAGCAATTTAATCTTATTATAGAAGATTTGGTATTTTTTTTTTTTTTATTTTTACGAGACAGGGTTTCTCTGTTTCGGAGGCTATCGGTCCAGCCCGGCCTCGAACTCACAGAGATCCGCCTGCCTCTGCCTCCTGAGTGCTAGGATTAAAGGTGTGCGCCACCACCGCCCGGCAAGATTTGGTATTTTTGCTGGAACTTTATTTTAATTCATTTTATTAGGTACATAATATTTATGTTTAAATAAATTAAGGTACAACATGGCATTCAGCAAACAATCTCCCAAGCACACACATGGTCTTTCTCTAGCCCATCTCCTGCCTGTCTCCTAGTTCCCTTGCTACTCCTACATTCTATGTACTGTTCTGTAGACTATTGTCACATATTCTGAGTATAAATTCATTTGTGCTCTCCATTCCCCAGAGTTTTAAAGATTATTTCAGCTTAAAATTTGGGGAAATAATACAGCAAATACTCATATCCTTGTTGCTTAGGCTTATTAGTTACATTAACGCACAACCATATTTATTTGTTTTTATTATCACTAATATATTCATCTACATGTGTTCTTTTTCCTAACATCTTACAATAATTTGCAGACATTCTATTACATCACTAGAAAGTACTTTAGCATATAGCTTCTGAAGTGATTTTATCTTACATAGCCTTAGTGCTAAGATAATACTAAGAAATTTTATAATACAGTGGCATTGTCTAATACACAACATTTCCCAGTTCTCCTAGTGTTATTTGTGTGCATTTTTCCTTTTGCTTTTTCAAAAATTTTATTGTATTTTATTTTGAATCAGGGTCTCATGATGAAACTAGTCTTGTATTTTTCATTCTTAAAAATAGTATTTTTTCTTTTTAAAAATGATTTACTAATTTTTATTTTATGCACATTGGTGTTTCACCTGCATGTATATCTGTGTGAAGGTGTTGGATCCCCTGGAACTGGAGTTACAAACAATAGTGATCTGTCATGTAGGTGCTGGGAATTAAACCTAGATCCAAGAGCAGCCGGTGCTCTTAACTGACCTGTCTCTCCAGCTCCTATTTTCCTTTTTAATGTATGATCAATCTAGTCAATCTAGTCAAGAATCATGAAGCATTACATTTGGTTTTCTTTAGTCTCCTTTAACTTAGCAAAATTCTTTGCTGTTTTTCCTATAGCTGTGTAAGACACTTTTTTTTTTTGAGGAATCAAGGTCATCAGTTTTGAGAATGTAATTTAATGTGGTCTTATTTGATTGCTTTTTTGTGTTTAGAATCAGTTTAAAATTTTTGGCAGAAGTACTAGATAGGGTGATATTTTCATTATAGTTCACCAAGCAGTACATACTTTGTCTTATTATTAGGGACACTTTGTTTGATGTCTTGGTAAAGAAATCTAGTATAAGCTGTATTGCTCCCAGTGTAATGATACTTGCTCATTTATAATGAATTAGTATCTGGGATTATGTTCCTAACAACTTTTACCAATGATTTTAAACATATATCAATTCTTGCTTGAATCATTTATTTTATTGGTGAAAGATTAGTTATTTTAAAAAATTATCCCAATTTAGCTGATAATTTTGACTTTTAAAATCCTACCAGATCATAGGGATGATCTCACCTCACCCCTATTTCACCACATTGTACACTGGTGAGTTTTTATTTGGAGCTTTAAAACATTTTTCTACCCACTAGACAATATCAGAACCTAGTTTGCTGTCAGTGTTGAAAATATTTTCATTGAAGTTTCCTTGTATACCAAACATGACATGGAGGTTTCAGTCTTCATATTCAGAATCTAAAATGAAATATATTAGAATTGCACAGAAGTTGGCAACTACTCCTTATTGGTTTATTGAATAAATGCTTGTGTTTGGTTCTGGAAGTTGCCAAGGATTGAAATTTGTGCCTTGTGCATTCCAAGACAAATACCCTGCTGCAGAGCTGTCTCCCAGCACACTTTGCACTTTTATTTATTTATTTGTTTGTTTATTTATTTATTTATTCTTTGTGATCCGATGCATTTAATTAAAGTTGCTTGCATGAACATGGGTGATAGTTTATTTAGAGGAGATTTGGCAACTTACCAGTATTGCTTTTTATTTCATTTTACTCATTTGCCTATTTTAGGCTGCAGGTTCTTTTTTTTTTTTTTTTTTTTTTGGTTTTTACGAGACAGGGTTTCTCTGTATTGTTTATCCGCCTGCCTCTGCCTCCCGAGTGCTGGGATTAAAGGCGTGCGCCACCACCGCCCGGCTAGGCTGCAGGTTCTTGATATACTGCCTAGATAAGCCTTGGAACCTTAAGTTCAAGTGATCCTCCTGCTTCAGCCTCCTGAGTAGCCGCCACTGTGCTGAACGCTTACACGTTTCATTCATTCGTGTTACTTTATACTATTTTAAGGTAGACAGTATCAAATTTTGTTTTACTTTTGCCCTTCCCTGTGTGTGTAAGCATTAGATGCACAGGCCAGCACCAACCTAAGTGGCTGCATATTTTTGTATTTGGACAAATTAATTTACCTAGTCATTACATTGTCTTGTTCATATCCCTGGTTGTTGATATAATAAATAACACTTAGAAGAGTATTAATGGTATATTTTAAGTTACAAATTATTTCTCTAAAAATTTTCTATAATTGTTCTCATATAAGTTAAAATTTACTTGTATCATTTTATAAAATGAGATCTAAAAGTAACTACCCTATTATTTCCAACATAGGAAAAGCTAAAAGGATTTTTAAGTAAACACTGAGACAGAGTCTCACTGTATAGCCTTCACTAGCCTGGCCTAGAACTTGTTTTGTAAATTAGGCTAGCTTCAGAGCACTGAGATTATTAGGCATGTACCATGCCTGGCTATTACAGACATTTTTTTAAACTAATGTTTTGAAATATTTCCCTTAGAAAGTTTGGAAGAGTAGGTGGGGAGATGTTTCAGTGGCTGAAGCACTTGCTTACTGAGGTAAGGTCCTCAGAATTTAAGTAAAAACTGGATTCAGTGACACAATGGTAGTAATCCCAGTTTTTTATCCCCACCAGGAGAGGAGAGGCAAAGACAGGAGAACCAGAAACTCATAGGGCAGCAAGCCTGATAAACGCAGCAGTGACCAGTAAGAAACCCTGTTTCAAGCAAAGACTGACATCCGAGGGTGTCCTCTGACCTGCACCTGTGTTTGTGCCACCTGTGTGTCCACACACACACACACACACACATACACACACACACACACACACACACACACACACACACACACACGCATTATATATAAATGGCAGGTAGAAGAGATGACACTGATATCATTAATTATAAATACAAATACAGTTAATAGAAATAGTCGTAAGTCCTTAGGTTACACAGTTTTTTAGTAAAACAAATTTAAATCCTCCAAGGAACAAATGTGTTTTTCAGGAAAAATAGAAGCATAAGAATAAATACATTTACTATAACTATGACTGTTGATTTATTTTGGAACAATAACTATTTCTCCCATGTTAGAGTTATGTTTCGGTTGTTTTGGGAGAACACTGGAGAGTAATGAAACTGTTTGAAAAAACATGTTGTTTAAGCTGGGCATGGTGATGGACATCTTTAACCCAGGAGTCAGAGGCCATCCTGTTCTATATAGCAAGCTCCAGGACAGCTAGGGCTACAGAGTGAGACCCTGATTAACAAAAAAAGGGCGGGGGTGGGTGTCAGGGTGTTTGATTTCTTTACTTAACCATTTTACTTAGGGAATCCTGAATAACGGGAATTTTTTGTGTAATTTCATGTGTGGCAACTGAGTCCTGTGTTCTCTGTCATTTTGGCAAGGCAGTTTTTAGTGTTGAAAGGAAGACTTTCAGTGGTTAAATGACCACTTTGTGCTTCATTCCTAATACTTTCTTTCATTTTTGTTTGTTTAGTGTTTTGAAATAAGGTCTCACTACATAACTTTGGCTGTCCTGGAACTTGTAGACCAGGCTGACTTCAGACTCATAGAGATCTGACTGCCTCAGCCTCTGCCTTCTACTGCTGGGATTAAAGGCATGCACCACTATCTTGGCTGTATTCCTATTTCTTAAGTAAGTGTCAGATATATAAAAGAACATACTAAGATGAAAAACTACTAGACTTTAGACCCTGCTGTTTAGAAATAAAGCAGGCAGTCTCCAATCCAGGTGAATAAAGGGTCAGCTGGTTTCTTTACTTACTGATTTAAAGTGGATTTTGCATTAACCAGCAAGAGGAAGGATAGTCCTTTATGTCCTCAATGCCTTTGAATTTCACAAACAAAAAATTACAATGCTTTAAATAGTTTGCTTGTTTGGTGTTACACTTTTGATAGCTGAAAGTTATTTTTGGAATGTATATTTTTTTCTTCTTAAAAGATACACATTTGGCTATAATCTATATACAACCTCAAATATAACATTCAGCAAGTTAACATTTAGATTTCCTTTAGACTCAAACAAATTTAGGTTTCTTGAAATCTTTTAATACTTTTTTTGGGTGTACTTAACAGTTCTAAACTTGGGCATTGTGTATTCAGTATGGATATTGATAAAACAAATAAAAGAAACTGAAAAAATAGCAGTGATAAATGGTAACAAATGAAGCTTAAAAATTGTTTGTAAAGCTGTTGTTTTTCTGATGTAGGAACGCTTTGTACTGACACAAGATCGGTTGACACATGGATTTCCTTTTCATGTTTTTTCAGTTTTTTAAAACTGTATTTGCAGTTTTAGTATTGTAAAGTAATTGAACAGCTATTCAGTCTTATTACTTATTTCTTCCTTTTCTCTGTCTCTCCTTTTTTATTTCTCTTATTCCTCCAATTTTACCTTCTTAACATCAGACAAGACTGGCAGGCTAAGAATAGCAAAATTAGGATTATTTCAGCTCTTTCTAATGTTAATTATGAAAAGAAAGAAAATAAATATGAGGAGATGAATGGGAAAACATCACAAGACTTTCTAGAAAACAGTGATATAAATTTGAAGGCATTAGGGCTAAAAGAAAAGAGAACCTTTTCAAAAACTGATGGCATCTCTAGCCAACAAAAACAGCAAGAGTACAGTGTGAGAAAGATATCTCCTAAGAGCAAGCACACAGAACCTTCTGCTTCCCTTAATTTTGATTGTAAGCATGAAGCATCTTCATTTTCCGGATATCCTCAGAAATATAACACAATAGATAGGAAGAGAAAAAAATTATTATACAGCCATTCCGAAGATAATGAAAGATGGCATTATAAGACCAAGATTGATTCCAAATGTGCATATCCTGGTACTGAGAATTTTGGCCACTGTCACATTGAAAAGAAAGAACTAAACTATCCAGTTTTGTGCCCTTACAAAAATGGATTTGTGAAAAACAATACCTGGAACATGAACTTGGAAAGCCATGATTATGATCTGCCCAATTGCTTAAGGAACTGTGCAAACTCATCTGGATCTAATCACTCTGTCACTGATTTTACTCCATTAGATATTCTTGAAGATTCTACCAGCAGTACTTCTGAAGAACTTCTATATTCCCCCATTTCTGATGAACAGGAAACCATGTCACCAACATGGCATCCATCCAATGTCCATCATATGGGAAACTTTTCTGAAGAATATTATGAGGCAAATTCAACATTGCCATTACAAAGGATGGGCTGTGATGTAAATGCAACTGGAGATTTGTTCAGATGCTCCATGGAAGATATGGCCCCTTCCTCTATCGAGGAACCCAAAGAGAACTTCATTGACACGATGGATGAGCTTCAGTGTTTGGTAGAAACAGTGTCAGAATATTTAGATGAGAAGGAAGAAGAGATTAATAGATTTGGTTCCCTTTCAAAAACTAAAAAAACACATGAACACAATACCACTGTTGATAATGCAGAACGAAAAACACCTGAGAATCAAACATCACCTTTAACTGTTACCCAGAATTCCATGGCCAAGGCCATATCTTTTCCTGAGCTGAATGGAGTAAAATGTGCTGTTGGTTCTTTATTCAGTTCATTAACAGAAAAGGTAGGTTCAGGCACAAAGCATCTTACAACCTCTGTGGAAAAACTGGTTCATTTAGTTCCAGAGAAAACAGAAATTCTTAATCAAACAGAGACAGTTAATTTGGGAACTAGCCCCAGTGCCGACTCAGTATTAGAGAAGGATCTTTCCACACAGTCTTTATTATCCTCTCAAACACCTGATGATAAGGATGCTGACAGACATGGCAAAGCCTCTGAGGATGAGCACCTGGGTGAAGAGACTAAAGGTGTAAGCTTTCAGGACGGCACAGAAACTATGAGAAAGAACTGGGCTCCACAGAGTCAAAGTTCCATTATGAAGTCTGTTTTCAGCATGCTGAATCCATTAAAGATATTTTCTGAGAAAGAAGAAATCAAACCTGAAGCCCATAGCAAAGCACCGAGGAAGGAAAGCTTTGTTGTGTGTGCTTCAGAGTCAAATCAAAGGGAGGGCGTTCTTGACAACCAGAGTAGTCTTGTTGCTGTAAACAGAAATAAAAGAGAAACTACAGATCTTCAAATCCAAGTAAGGGAAGATTTGCTGTCCTTAAAAGTGACTGATGAACCTACAAACATAGCTAGTAGTACAAGTAAGGAACGTGATTTTGAGAACCTATTGGATGGAAAACCTTGTGTAGATCTTTCTCTGTTACAAGACCAACCAAAACTAAGTGCCAAAGATACTAGGGAACATTTTGATATATCTGATAGTACCCCTGAAAATCAAGAGCCTTCTGCAAAGTCATTAGAGGAAGATAAAGTTACCAGTGATGATGATTTCCTTGAGCCACTCAGAAAATCATTTAGTCAGTTTCTGTTTACTTCTCCTGGGACCTGTCAAAAGGAAACTTTGTCTGAATCTGTAAAAATTCTTAAGGCTGAGGAAGATGGACAGAAAAGGGGTGGTAAGAAAGATGAACATTCGTTTTCATTTAGTGGAAAACTACGTATTCCATTTTTCAGTGTCCTTAGCCATTCTGAAAAGCATCAGAATGTAAAAGAGAAAGGAAGCATTTTTCCTTTGTTTAAATTTCCTTTCACTGACAGCCCCAACACTGCTAATAACCAGACTTTTCACAGCTCAGTGGCAGTCACTGATAAAGAGATCCTACAAGATAGCCACATGGACACTAGGCTTAGTTCAGTAAAATCTAGTCCATTTCCAGATATTCATAATGATCTAGAGAAATTGGGTAATACTGAGGAATTCAATAACAATGAGCAAATAAATTGTCCTGAAGATGTTGAACTTAATTTAGTAAAATCTAGTTCATTTTCAAATATTCATAATGACCTAGAGAAATTTAATAGCATAGACGAATTTAATAAGAGTAACCAGATATGTTGTTCTGAAGATGGGAAGTGTAATACAATGAGGTCTGACTCACCCTCTAGTATTAATAGTGATTTTGGGAAATTTGGGAGTTTAGAGGACTTGAGCCCCAACAACCATGCAGCAGTAGAACATTGTGGAAGAGCTGACCCTGACATTATGCCTAAAGAACACATAACTTTAGAGCTCTCAGAAGAACTTGAGAATCTTACACAAAAAGGGACATTTCCCTTGATGCCAGACTCTTCACTGGAGCTTATTTCTGCCATTTCAAAGCCCATATTGGTTAATGACATTAATGAAGACAAAGTTGAAGATAAACCTTCTAAAAAAGAAACCCAAAGAGTGTTCCCTTCTGACCTTTTAAACAGGTTTACTTCTCAAGAAAACATACCTAGTCACCAGGAATTCAATCTGAAAAATGGCTGTTCTCATCACAAGATTAGTACCTCAAGCCCATTACTCTATGGAATAATTAATTTGATATCAAGCAGCGGTGCAAATTATTATAATCCAAATGAAGCAAAGCTCATGTCTTTAGATGACACAAAATATTTGGATGGAAGTAAGCATTTATCCACAGATGAAGTCCTTGTTGATTCATGTATGACTTCTGAGAACCAGAGGAGCCAGGTAGAAAACAATGAAACTTCTAGTTTCATAAAAAGTTCTTTATCGTTATCTCAAGAAACCATCCCATCATCTAATGATTGGGTTGATAATCATCTTTTCCCGCCTGCATGGAAAAACCAAGAGTGTACAAAACATTGCCCTTCTTCTGAGAACATACTCCATTGTACTGAGCAGGGTCTCTTAGAGAAGTCTTTGGCTAACAGGCCAACACCAAACAATATTCTTGAAGCAAAACTTCCCAAAAGATCAAACAAGTTAAGTTCTCCGGTACTAAATACTAACATTTTAAATTATCAGGGTTTTGATGAGAACTATTTTGAATGGGATCTTGATATAAAAGATTTCTCTAAAAACTCCAGAAGACTTCAACCAGTTTATCATCTATTGAATCAAAGTACATTCCAATCAGCAGATGCTTTCTTGCGGCCTGACTCAGAAAATCCAGTAATAAATTTGTGCCAAAAAGATCAAAATGCAAATATCTTTGAGTGGGGCACAAATTCAAACAGTGTCATTTCGTGTGACTTACCATATGAATCATCCAACCAGCTAGCATTTAATGACGGTTACTTATTAAGAGGTGATATGTGGGCAGCCAGCTCATTATACAGAAACTCTGGTTATCTTCCAGTTAATGAGACCAAGAATTCACTAGAAGAATTGCCCATTGATTTAAGTTACTCTTCAGATTATGAGAAAATTATGTATTCTCTACTGGAGCAAGAATCATTAAGAATGGATGAAAACTTTATCTTTTCAAGTTTTGGTTATGAGTACCAGGAGTGGTTATCATGTCTTGAAAATGGAGTTTGGTGTCCCTCAGAGGATGGGAATTATGGATATTATATGTTTCATGATGGTCAGTATATATACTCTCTTCTAACGGATTCCACTGGGCAGTATGTATATTTATTTATACCTGATTACTATTATCATGAATATTTGAAGTATAATTTACGAACGGATGATCTTCCAAGTACTATGTTAGATGACAGTATTATTTCTGCCCATAGTCTTGAAGTTCTTAACAAGGAAGATGATTTAGTATGGTATGTTGAAGAAGAACCATTTGAAGATCCTCTTGATTTATCTTTAAGCTGGCCAAGAAGTGAGAGGTCATTGTATGTAAATCTAGAAACCTTTTCTCAAGTGCTTGAATCAAGTTTTGACCAAAGGGATAAACCATTAGATTTTTCAGGCTATAATTCTCAAAAATTTAAAAGAGATTTTAGATCTTTTGTAGGGAGACCCTATGGCTTGGAAGACTTTGAGTGTATATTGGATCTTAGAAACAAACCTGGAGCTGTGAACAATCATGTATTAAATAGAGGCCAAATTATAGAGAGAGAGATGAAATGGCCTTTAGATAAAATGTCATCAGCTCACCTTTCCAGGTTCCATTTGCTTCAGCCATCTTCTGAAGAAACTCCCTCTTTAATTCATCCTGAAAGTAAGACTGAAAGTTCACAAAAAGAAGAAACATCATCAGTGAACAAATTGACACCTGTATTTTCTGTTTTGGGTGCCTTAATTAGAAGTACTTTGAATTTTGACAAGAGTGAATCTGTAGAAGCTTTGGTCATGCAGAAAATAGGTCAGCAGTCAGAGTTAGCTGAGCCCGTATGTGATGGTCTTCAGTCATTAATCTCAAGAAAGCAATTGCCATACAGCTTCACAAAGGACGAAGAAAGTCAGCCTGAGGATTTGGAGAGGCTGGCGGTATCCAGTGTTCAGCAGCCAGAGTCCTCTGACAACGCAAGGCAAGAATTTCCTTTACATAAAAATGGGCATACAGAAAAAGAAAGTTTATTAAGATCTGATTTTCAAGTAAGCCAAACAACCCTTAAAGCTAAAACAAATGTAGATGATGTTAAAGTTACTACAGCAAAGTCTTTTTCAGATCCTCTTGTACCACAGCTTAATAGGGATGAGCATAAGAACTGTGAGCTTCCGCAGGACCAGTCTTCCAAAGGGTCTGAGAGAACTTTGCCTAAGAGTGCATTGAAACACCTTCATTGGGAGGAAGAATCTTCAGCAAGTACAGTGGCAAATGAAAAACAGGCATCTGGAATTTTGAACCTTTTTAGAACTCAAGTGAATAAGGAAAAATCGTCAAACTTGGGAAAGAATTGTGATAAAGGTAGAAACATTTCATCTCAGGAAAAGAAAGAGTCTTCTGGCATTCCAAATTTTTTTGGTACCCTTGGGGATTTTTTGAAAACCAATGTGTCTCCCATACAGACAACTGAAAATAGGTCTGTCTCTTTAGTGACTGATGAGCATGAAGGCAGGTCAAGTCCTAACTCTGTACATCTAGTGCATCAGGATACTGGAAAATTTCCTCCTGTATTAGTTTCCTCAAAAAAGGTTAGAATTAGAAGTCTAAACAAACAGACCACTATTGATGACAGTGGACTAAGTGAGTTATCAACCAGGGAGCTGCAGAGTAATGATTTGAATGAAAAAGAGGTACCTTTCAGAGACCATCAGGTGCAGCAATCAGCAAGTCCACCTATCTTAACAGATAGTCCCAAAGAGTCTCCCAGAGGCTATTCAAAAGGAACTGGTGCCATATCTGTAGGAATAGAAGATCTGAGGAATAATGAAAAGTGTTTTGATGCTCTGAGCAGAAGAAATACAAATGAACAGGATCATTTTCCTAGCAAAGAATGCAAATTTTCAGCTGCTACATCCCCATCCCAACGGGAGCTTCCAACCAGAAAGAATATATTTTCTTTCTTAACTGGATCTGAAAAATCTGAGAACAAAGCCCCACCAGCTCTCCCAAGGGGAAAATCTCAAGTAGAAGGACTCTTCACACTTCCTTCCTTTTTCTCCACCACTAATTTAAGCATCAAGAAGGGTACCTCTCGAAACAGCTCTGCTTTCAGTTTGTTTAACTTGTCCTTTTTGGATGAGAAGCAGCAGGCCTCTGAGGAGAAGCAAAGCCTTTCAACTGTTGCTCCAGTGATGGCCCAACCCTGTAAGCAGCCAGTTGTTTCTGTAGACACTAGAGATACAATGAAGGAAGGTTCTAACAGTCATGAAGAAAGCATAGTCCAGAAAGTAGTTCACAAAGAGCAAATGGCTCCTTGTGTATCCGTTTATAGCACCACTAAGCTTACAACCTCCTTTTCAGATGAGCTTGTAGAGGAAACCCAGGGAAAAGTGAGTTCCAGTAAGGAAGAAGCAGAAGGAGCAACTGCTTCTGATTTTCAAACGATTCAGTTGCTAGACAACGTTGTTCCCCCTTTACCAGAATTTCAGGAACAAGCCCTGGGCGTAGCTCCTCATGAAGAAGAGGCTTCCCATCAGGAAACCTTCCCCAAGGACTCAGAGGCTAAGCCTTTTCCTCATGATAATGGTTTCATTGAAAAACTCAATGATTTAGATGTTTGTACTGTACACCAAAATGAAAGATTTACCACTGACCCATTGAATTTGCCATTGGAAAATGCCTCTGATAGTCTCTCAACACAGACCCTGGATTCACCTTCTACTTCTCCAGGGCCAGGGCATGCAGGGCTCCTCTGGAACCCAGATGCAGATAAATCAGAAGACAGATCTGTATTAGGCTCCAAAGTAGAAATGCTCTCAGGGTTTGTGACCAAAGTAAAATCTTTTTCTGGGTGCTTAATTGAACAGCCTAAGACTTTTTCTGAACTTTTTTCTACTCCTAAATCTTCAAAGAAAAATTCCTTTTTTTCTTTTTCCTCTGATGCATCATCTCAGCCCCTCAAAAGTGAGTTTTTTGGAATTTTCAGAAGTTCCAAACCAGAGACACATAAACAAGAGCCATCTGTGCCTACTTCATGCCTTCAAAGTGGTTGTTCCAGAGACACTATAGGATCAGTACCTCCAGAAAGCTTGCACAGACAAGCTGCCTCTGCAGTACTCAATTCAGAATCTTCTCCCAGTGGCTGTAGCATTACTGTGTTTGGTGCAAAGACAGAATCAGATACCTTGACAGATAACCCTAAACCAACACCTGAAATGGAGAAAAATAATATTCCTGAAAATATTTCAGAACCTCCAGGTTTTGAAGCACTTGCTCCATCTTCTGTTTCAGAGGATGATGCAGGGCAAGGAGTATTATCTTGGAGTGATGAAGGAGACATGGGGATGTTGCAGGGCACAGACACAGAGGCATCATTGGAAGCAGAACATATTTTCCCTCCAACACAGCTCCAGCCAGATTCTGCCTGTATTTCTGGAGAGATTCCCCCTTCAAGCCAACCACTTCCCGATCCAGAGCCAGAGCTGGAGATCCAGACAGCTGGCACAAACCAAGAGTCCTTGGGGCTTGCAAGCTTTTCTGTAGAATCCAGTGCTTCACTGTTTGATGAGGCAGGAGTCTGTGGGACTACCACACTGGAAACACAAGGGTATCTTTCTTGTCCTTTGCAAGAGGAACCTGAGTTTTGTGCCAAAGAACATTCTGGTATACTTCATGCCCAAAAAGATCCACCTGAAGCCCTGCAGGAAACAGAGCAGCCAAGACCTCATTTTGAGATTCCAAACATGGCCAGTTGGGCAAAGTTTCCCTTCCCATCCACTCCTTCTGACCATGGGAAGACCATGAGTTCAATTTTTAACCCCTCTTGCTCATCTGGTAACATGGCAGCAGAAACGGGCTTACTGTCAGGTTTTAAGAAGTTATCCACTCTGTTTGAAGGCACTAGTGAGGGGAAAGGGGGAATCCTGGGAAATGATCCAAAACTAGTTTTCAGAAAGAAACTGGATCTTTCATTTCCTTGGTCAAAAGAAAATAAAGGAGACTCCAAGCATATGCCTACAGAATCTTCTCCTCCAGTTTTGGTTGTTAGCAGGGATCAGGACCTTATTGCCAGCAAGGCAAACCAAGTTTTGGAGTCTTCTCAAATACCTAGTGCTAGTCCTGAGCCAGCTGGCATATGTGCTCAGCCCTCTAGGACCACTGAACAGTTGGAGGTCAAGCCAAATGACTTTGCTCATGGGCTTTCAAGATATGGTGAAGTTGAAAGGCAGCTGGAGATCCCAGCATCTGAAGAACACCGGGGTGCAAACAGCGATCTATCTGGATCTACTTGTCCTTCAGAGACATACAAGGAAGAGCTCTGCACTATCTCTGGGCTGCTTCAGCCGGAAAAGCAAGAAGAGATGCCTGCTAGCACTGGCTCTGTTCTGAATGTGGGACAGCTAGTCATTCTGGAGGATGTCAAGGAACCAGTGACCAACAAAAGGCCTGTTCTCAACCCAGGCATCATAAATGGTTTTAAGGAATTGACCATTTATGATGCAGATGTCTAGTGGTAGACTATCATAGCTTCCTTTTTGTCCATCCTGTGTCTTTCCTAGCACCTGAGTTTCATGCTGTTTAGGGGTTAAGTGACAAAAACTAATGTGTGGCATTTTTCTAGTGCCAAATTCAATTAGTGATCAAGGAGCAACTAGCATAAAGGAAAGAATATTTGCATAGTCTGGTTTATTTTGCCTTTTATCAAGTGGAATGGAGAGGACAGGAAGAGGCAGTGAGTATTTAAGTGGTATTATTATAAGTATATAATCAGATAGGATGCTTTCTTGGGTCTTAGACACTTATAGTAGTTGGGAATAGTTGTGGTTTTCTTGTTTTGTTTTTTTCTAAGTCTTCTAAGGCGTCTCCTTAGTGGCTGTGAGGGTATAAAGTAAAATACAAAGTGCAAAGGATGATTTAGGATTATATGTATTCCTATTCCAGATGGATTTGTAAAACTTCTAGGGTCATATAAGCTATCACAGTGCTCTGGATAGTTATAACAAAGGATAACCCTGGGTTGCCATGATACTTTACTCAAAGCTGTAGTTCTTATGCTGCTGTTCTTTCATCTGGAGTGCTGAACAAGGTCCATCTGTAGAGGTTGCTGCTATTGCCTCTGAGCGTAAGCACTGCAAGTTTAGTTTAGGAATGTTACTTTGACCTCTGACCCAGACATATCCAAAACATTAGATCTACTTAGACTGATGAAGAGTCAGAGAGAGCACATTTATCTACTGAGAACCCTGACCTGATACACATTCTGCTAATATGTACTGAAGAATCAGAAATCTGCCTGAAAATAGCAGGTAACTGAGAATACTCATAGGAAAAATCTCTTTGGAAAACAACAATTCTTTTAATCTGACCAGAGGTAAATATAAGACCTCAAGTTAAAGACTTGACTCTAGAAAAAAACAAAACCAATTCTCTTTGCATAAAAGCTTTCCAGCAGGATACCTACTAGTAAGAAAACCAGAACTCAACTTGGGATTGAAATGTCCAAATGGGCTGACCTTGTCTCACTCATTTCCAAGTCCATCCGTCTTCATTAAGACTGAATCCATTGGAAGATGAGCTTTATAGTTCTAGGGAGTATCTTGATAATGTTCTTGACAGTCATAATCACAGTTATTCTCAGCTACAACTTCTAACTCTCATAGCAGGGAACACTTCTTTCTGTACATGGGAATTCAGGTGATGGAGCAAGGACTGAACTGGCCTCACTTGATAGATTAGTCCTGATTTTAGGGAGTAGGACTTAGTTCACTTTATGTATGACTGAGTCTTGACCCAAGACAGACTCAGCTACAGATGGATGGATTTATCTTAGGGATATTCCTCATGCCACTAATGATGTCACTATTGCATTTGTGTTGGTGAAACCTAGGGAATTCCCCCGCAGAATTTCTTAATCCTGGTCTTCATCTCCTAGTGACTTCCATAGTTTATCCTGCAGCCTATAGGAACATGCCCCTGTGCTGTGCTGAAGCCCAGGCGCACACACTGTAATTGCAGAGGAAGTAGTAAGGACTTCTTTTATTAACTAATAGAAGGGAGTGGAGCTTATTTACTGCACTTTACTATGTAGAATTTGGGAGACTTTAGTCACAGCCACTGGGAAACTTTCTTTAGAAGGCGGAGTAAAGAGTTTCATAAATAAGCAGCAGGCCATTTTACTCTTTCTTCATTCTACTGACAGGTAGCAATTAGGTAAAATATTCTTTGAAGTCAGGACTGAAGTCATAGTTGAAGTGGTGTCAGCAAGTTTAGTATGTTGTCTTTTGTCCCCTTTGTGATTGTGCTGAATGACTAGAACAATTTTTCTAGATTCAAATGTTTGCCCTTGCTTCCTAGGAATCTATTTGTGCTTATTTGTGCTTTATCAATTATTAGTTCCCAGGTGTGTCTATATTTGTGGTCTGGTCCTCAGTTTGCATTTATTTACTAGTTTTCTTTTCATTCTCACAGCCCTACCAGCAGTAGTAGGTATGGCTCCTCCTGTAATGTGAGTCAAGGAAGCTCTCTGCTGAGTGAACTAGACCAGTGTCAGGAGCAAGATGATGATCGTCGGGAGAGGGACTCCATTCATTCTAGCTATAGCTATGGCAGCCTCTCCAAAGATGGCCAGGCTGTTTTGGAAGAAGAAGAGAAAGCCTTGGAGGTGACATGTGAATCAGAGAAGGGGACAACAGGCGAAACCAAGGAAGTGAGAGAAGATACCACAACTCACCCTCCTCCAGATCTGGTGCTACACAAGGATCACATCTTAGGCCCCCAGGAGAGGTAGGTGGTGGCTAGCTCACATGCTACCTGCTGTATCTCTTACTGAATACAAATACTTTTCACTTGTTTCTTGCAGCTAGGTAGGGTGGGGGTCATGGCAACCATGGTCAAGCTGGTAGATCTTCCTTTGATTTTTTTTTTATATAATTCCCAAGATGTTTGAGGAACTTGTATTACTGAAGTGCAGGTGCTCCAGAACTTTTAAAGTGTGCAGTCTTGACCCCATAGAGGGCATCCTCTGATGCCAGAGCGCCACAGGTTATTTAATAGTTCCCCTTGCTTAGGGTTCTTTGGATGTATCTAACTCAGTTCCTTTGTGAACAGTGATATTTGGTTCTGTCTTACCCTGTCTGAGGAAAACCAGAAAAGAATTAAAGAAGAACTAATAGATTTAGTACAAATGCCTGTAATTAAAAAGCTACTGTATATGATTTGGCAGTGTATTTGGCATTTTGTATCTATAAGAAGAAAATTTTGTAATGTATCTTTTGGTCAAGTGCAGTGTATGCCTGTAATTCAGTACTCTTGAGGCTGAAGCAAAGGGTGAGGGAGCTTAGACCAACCTGAGCTACATAGCGAGACCTTGTCTAAATACTGTGTCAATTATAACTAAATAATAACTGAGCTAACCTGTTTAGAAAAGCTGAGAGATTTGAGCAGAGTAGGTCTCTCAGTTTTTCTATTGTTGACATTATTTTGGAAAATAATTATTATGGGAACTGCTGTATTCGTTTTCGCACTTGTTTGATTACCTGGCCTCCACACAGTAGATGCTAATAGCAGTGCCTAGAGTGACAACCAAAACTCCCTAGACACTGTCAGATATTTTCCCAAGGACAAAATCCTGCCCCTGCACCCAGTTGAAAACCACTAGGATAGAATGATAAGAGGATGGCTTAGATTTTCAGACTTCTAGATCTCATCATAGATCTAAGAGGTCAGAACAGTGAATGCTAGGTGGCTGGATGAATCATATATCTTCCTGAAGATTGCTATAAAGCTGCTTTCTCTCTTCCCCTATTTTTGCTTGTTTTTCTTTATTTTTATAAGATAGGGTCTTATGTTATAGCGCAGGCTGGCTACAGACTTATAACTTAACCTCCTGCCTCTGCCTCCTGATTGCTGAGGTTATAGGCATATCCTACAATACCTAGGTCCATTCTTGGCTTTTAGTCATCTGTTGTGGTTCACTTAGTAGTGAAGAGGCCCAAGAGACTAAGGTCTGAACCAGGCCTTCTACTGGGTTGATGACCCACCAAAAGGTTGGTTCTTCATGGGTCTTGAACCTGACATTACTGTTGTCAGGACTGAGCTCTTGGTCGAGATGTGAAATACTTCACATTCTTATTGTCTCTTCTTACGTCTTAGCTGTCTGATTTCTACACTTGAAATAGACTCAGGGCCCTTGTCATTGCTTCTTGTTTCATCTTCTCTCAGTGTCTATGAACTATTTCATTTGGCTGCATGAACAAAGAAGAAGGAAGGGGGATAAAAAGAATTGTCATTTTAGAGAAGAATTGTTTTCAAAATAGGTATTCAGAACTCTGCTGTTTTATGGCCTGAATCACTAGCCAAATGTAGGCATGAGCACAAAAATATTTTATTTTAGATATTTGGCAGTCTTGTCTTGAATACTGCCACCTTGTTACTTCTGCTATTTACAAGAAATACTCTTTTCTTTGTTACAAGTCTTCCTGAGGAGAACGCATCTTCACCATTTACCCAAGCCAAAGCTCACTGGATCCGAGCAGTTACCAAGGTCCGACTACAGCTGCAGGAGGTAGGAAATTTGTTCCAGTAATGGTTGGGACAGTTTTTTCCTTTGAAAACTTGGGAGGCATATGGTGCTGGAGAAGCTGTCAGTGATGAGTCATCTTCTTACAGTGCTTCTGGGAATGCATGGCAATTAAACCAGAGCCTTAAGAGATGGGAGGTGGCCCTGGCTTTTTCTAGGCTCCTAATGAGAATCAAATAGGCCTAGGAGGTGGGAGCTTGAAGGTTGGGTTAAATGCCTATTTTCTCTACTGTCATCTCTGGCTTGATGTTACAGTAAGGAACAAGGCCTCTTTGGTAATTTGTTGTCTTTTTTATCAGCTAGTTCAAGTACCACTAGTTGATTTTACACAGGTTTGGAAACAGGGTACAGACAGTTTTATGGGAAAATTTGGGCCCTCATATAAGACCCAAAACATGGACACTTTAAGATTTGCTATGAGGGTGTGGAGAGATAGCTCAGTGGTATAGGTACTGTCTGTGCAAGCATAAAGATCTGAGTTTCCTTCTCAGCATCCACATAAAAAGCTGGGCATGGCTGCATGCGTCTGGAACCCTGACACTGTGAGTGGTGTGGTAACAGGAGGATCATGGGGCTTGTTGGTCCCCATCCTATTTCCAGATCCTGTGAGAGACCCTGTCTTAGAATAAGGCAGAGATTGATAGAGCAGAACACCTGATTTCCTTTGGCCTCCATGCACCTGTGCACGTTTGACTACACACAAAAGCACACATTGGAGTCGGGAGGGAGCAAGGGAGCTGGAGAGGGGAGAAAAGGGGGTAAAGAAAAAAGCAAGAGTAGATGATTTAGTTAGGTTGCATGCTGTGATAAATACCATGACCACAAGCAACATGGTATTTTGGGGAGGAAAGAGTTTATTTTACCTTAGAGTTTACAGTACTTCATGAAGTAAAGACAGAGCAGGAACCTAAGGCAGGAACTGAAGCAGAAGCCACAGAGAAAGTCTCCTCACTGCCTTGCTCCCATGCCTTTCTCAGCTGTCTTCCTTAGATAACCCAGGACCACTTGCCCAGGGGTGCCACGCCACCACTCCTAGTGATCTGAGCTGTCCCATGGTAATCATTAATCGAGAAAAAACTCTACAGACAAAGTGATGGAGGCATTTTCTCAATTGAGATTTCTCCTCCCAGATAGCTTTATTTTCATCATGTTGACATAAAATTCACCAGGACAAAATACCATTTTTTTTTACTTTTAGCATGAAAAGTTTTCTCTTAGCAAAACATGTTCTTATCTGTGCGTCAGATGACAGGCAGTCTGAAGGCAGAAGTGCTGTTTTTAAATGACAGTAGCAGTCACTAGTGTAAACTTGGCAGATGCAAGCATGCTCACATGTGTACACATACCCTTTAAAGACTAATGTGAAACCTAAGGGAAGCTGTGAGACAATCATATCACTTTGTATCCCTTTGTCACATGCTGCAGCTGCCACCATTTCATATTTACTTTATTGTTTTCCCTCTACCGGTCTTTCTCTCTTACTTGATTCAGAGATTGTACTCATAGATATTCATATCCTCTCCTAAAAATAAGGCCACTCTCCTGAATAACCAAAGTTGCACTATCCAAAGAAAACTTGCACTGTCAAGAAAACACCAGCATCAGGAAGCCATGCAAGTTTGCCAGCTACTCCCACAAGGTCTCTTTCCTTTCTGATCCAGAACCTAATGGCCACTGCATTTAATTGGTGTCTCTTTTGTCTCCTTCAGCTTGGAACAGTTCTCAGCCTTTATTATCCTCCACAGTTTTAAATGATGAAGGCTTTCATTTTGTAGCAAAGGCCCACTCTGTTTCCTCATGTTAGGCTTGGACCATGCTTTCTTGATAGGAATTACAAAAGACATATCTAATGTGAACCTGTCCTGCCATACCTGCCATTAGCCTTAATATTTGGTTAAGTTCGTGTCAGCCACATCCCTCCACTGCCAGCTCTTTGCCTTTGTAGTTGGTGCTTTGTAGTGAGAGCTTCTGAGACTGTGTTGCTATCTTGTTCCTCATCAGATCTGTACCTACTAGTGATGACGCTTGTCTGGAGCTACTACTAGTGGTGGTCACAGGTGCTAACTTTGTTTCCACCATTCTTTCCACAGTGAGGAGTATGAGAAAAATTTCCTTTTCACCTATATATTTAGTTCAGTAAGACTCATAGGTTCTTTATTGTATCTATTATAATATATTATTATCATGTACTTCAATAAATTATTTTAGTTGCCCTTTATACACCATTATATACATATGTGCACATACATACACATGGGTTTGTGGATTGTTTTTAAGGCAGGGTCTCAATATATAGTCTAGGCTAGCTTGGAGTTCCCAAAAGATAGCATTTCATGATTCAACTTACAAATCTACAAAGAAAGTAAATTCTGGCTAGGCTCAGCAGATAAAGTTTGATGAACTGAGTCAGGATCCACACGGTGGAAGGAGAGAACCAACTTCCACAAGTTGTTCACAGGACACACACACATATACACATGCATATGCACATGCACACATGGTTTTGTGGATTGTTTTTAAGGCAGGATCTTTCTATGTAGCCTAGGCTAGCTTGGAGTTTCCTATGTATTCTTGACTGGTTTCAAACTCTCAATCTCTAACACTCTGGAGAATACTGTGAGTGTATACTGTGCTATTACAGCCAGCCTGGAAAACATAACATTTAATTATTATTATTTTATTTTTGTTGTTGTTGTTCTTGTTTTAAGACAGAGTTTCTTTGTGTAGCTTTGTAGACCAGGCTGACCTCGAACTCACAGAGATCCACCTGCCCCTTCCTCCTGAGTGCTGGGATTAAAGGTGTGCGCCACCACTGCCCGGTCCAACATTTAAAATTTTAAAAATACTACCTTAATGATTTTGGTTCTTTGAATCAAGATCTT